TTGATGATGTGGCAATGACATGTCTTGCAATTTAGGTTACATGGACAAATAAAAACACCACATTAGATAAATACTTATATTTTTAATTAAAAAAAAAAGAAAACCTATAATCATCTTCTTCCCTTCTTTTTTTCTCTTTCTTTCCCTTGCTTGCTACTAGGTTCAATATCAAACCCAGCAGAACTGGGATCCATTGAACCCAACTACTGCATTTGATGGAACTTAGATTTGCTCTAGATTTCGTGGAACCTAGATTTGCTTTGGGATTCTCTAGAACCTAGATTTGCTTTGGGATTCTCTAAAACCTAGCTGTGCTAGGTTTGACGGAACCCAAAGTAGATTTAGGTTCCACTAAACATAGAGCAAATTTAGGTTTGACAGAACCCAGCAATTGCGTTCCATCGAACCCAGCTCCACTGATATGAATAACAAAAAAAAAAAAAAAAAAAACAATAAGCTGAGGGTTCCATGAACCAAATATAGACTTTGTGGAAGAAGACGGGCAACGAATAGGCAACTAGATTAGATTTGTTCAAACCCCAGATTGTTGGGTTTCGAGAGAACTAAATCTGGGTTCATTCTAACCCTAGATTATTGGGTTTTGAAACCCAAATCTTTCGATTCTCCTCATATATATATATTTGTTGCTAATGAGTAATTGAGTTTATGCAAATTGCAGGTTGTGAGGAATTTTTGGGATCCTTTTACTTCATATTTTCTAATTATTGTATAAATGATTTTAATATTCAAAATGGAAAGAACATTGCTGATGATGGAAAGAACAGAAGCAATGACAAATGGGCAAAGAAGCAATTTTCAGTGGATTTCATTTGCTTGGTTGGAAAATTGTACATTTTGGGTGTTTGGATGTTGAGAAAATGGTTTCAATTAGTGTTTTGGAACAAGTATTGTATTAATAGGTGTTTGGTTGCCAAGAAAATTATCATAATTGTTAAGAAAATTTGTCAAGAAAATTGTGATTTAATTAGAAATTAATTGGAATCTTAATTTTGATTGAAATAAGTAATTACAGTTTAATAAATGAATTAAAAGGTGGAATGTCATATGGCATAACTTTTTGTCCATATAAGCATCTTCTTCTAATTTAATTTGCCACATCATTAAAAAATATAAAAAATATCTCGTGGATGGAGTTAACGACTCAAACTAACAAGATGATTAAAATTATGCTCGTCTTAGAGTTGAGAAATAAAAAAAAGTACAAAAAATAGTTAAAGGATAAAAAAGTGCAACTCTATAAAGTTGAGGATCAAAATTAGCATTTAAGCATTTTTAAATACAGATTAAACAACTATTTTAAAAAATTAAATTAAAATAGACGCCCTTTTTATCTTGGCAGTTATTATTAAATAAACGTAAAAAATTACCGCGGGAAGGAGCATAACGGCGGTTCCCTTTGTCTGAGAATCGGAATCTTTTCCAAAATAACCCTAATTTCATCTTTCCGGGGCCATAACGCCGCAATTGGCGTAGCGAATTCATGTGTTCCTCGGGCAACGGCGCCGCGGAGTCTGGATCACCATCATCATCGCCCAGTAACATGGAGAAGTACCTCTGCGACCTCTTGCTCGACCAGAGCCAGCCCATCTCCGAGCGTTTCCGAGCTCTCTTCTCCCTTCGCAACCTCAAAGGCCCCGGCCCCCGCCTTGCTCTCATTCAAGGTCTGTATATATTTGATTATGTAAATGCGGTATATCAGTTGTTTATCTGTTGTTGTTGTTGTTTTTTTTATTTTTTTTTAATTTGTAGAATTTGTTTTCTATATCTGCAGCAATTTTTTTTTTTGGGTTTTCCGGCAGTAAGCAAAGGTTGCATAATCTAGATAGATTTTTTGGGAGATGTTATGGTTATTTGCCGAAGAGTATTTAGCAGGAAACTTAATTGCTTAGTTATGTTGAAAATGCATTTTTGATATAGTCAAGTAGTAATGGATCCTCATTCTCATCTTGTAGCAACAAGGGATTCATCGAATTTGTTGGCCCACGAAGCTGCGTTTGCGCTGGGCCAGATGCAAGATGTTGACGCCATCCCTGCTTTAGAGGCAGTTCTTAAGGATCTTTCTTTGCATCCCATTGTTCGCCATGAGGTATCAAGGTTTTATCTACAATTTATATGTTCTTTTTCAGGCATTGCAGTTGGTGTTTTTCGAAACATTTCACATGCCATCATTGTACAGGCAGCTGAAGCTCTTGGTGCAATTGGTTTGGAGAGTAATATTCCTCTTTTAGAGAGTAGTTTGGTTTCAGACCCAGCTCAGGAGGTGCGGGAAACATGTGAACTGGCTCTTCAGCGAATTGAGGAATTGAAGACTTCTAGCAGTGATGATAAATCATCAATAAAAGAAAAGTCACCTTTTATGTCGGTTGACCCTGCCACGCCAGCTTCTTCTTGCTCATCTGTAGATAAGCTGAGGTATATCTGGTTTTTAGTAATGGATAGACTTTTTATCACCCATGTTTATTAACTGTTTTGGCTACCATTGCCATTGAATTTTAAGGGAGGTTCTATTGGATGAAGAGAGAGGCATGTATGAGAGATATGCTGCACTATTTGCGCTGCGTAACCAAGGTGGAGAGGAAGCTATTTTTGCCATTATTGATTCTTTGGGTGCGAACAGTGCTCTGCTGAAGCATGAGGTTCAACAAGTTTTCTTTGACTCATGTTATAAACCTTCAGCTGGTTCTTATTTTGCTCCAAGATGAGTGTTCATGTTTGATGCTTGGCTGTAATTCAGGTTGCTTATGTCTTGGGTCAATTGCAAAACAAAGCTGCCTCAGCTGCACTTAACAATATACTTAAGGATGTGAACGAGCATCCAATGGTTAGACATGAAGCTGCTGAAGCTCTTGGCTCCATTGCAGGTATGGTCATTTAATACCATTAAACATTTTTTGCCCATTGTTCTCCCAATACTATTTGCTGAATCGAGCATGATGGTTTTCCATTCTAGTGAAACTCTTGGTCTTACCTTCTCTAGTGGATAGTTGATGCAAGGATAAATAGCCTCTCCAGGCAGTCAATTCTCTGTCATTGAAGTTGATATTCTACGTAGGTCTCTTAAGCAGAGCTAAGCACCTTTGTTTGGGATAACCCTCCTATGAAATTGATTACGTGCTCAACCTTGAATGGAAGTGGTCAAGTGGATAAAGCTGGTAGTTTTAGAGAACAATTTAAATAGGAACTTGGTAAATTTTTAGGGAAGTAATAGGAAAATTATTATAGAGAACTATTTCAACAAAGTTTTCCTTTTGGCAAAAGCAGAATTGTCTTTTCTGTAATGAGACAATTGAGTCTAATTTTTTTATGCTGAATAAATTGGAGTCTGATTTAATCTCTGTACATTCTTGCAGATGATGAAAGTGTAGCGCTGCTTGAGGAATATGCCAAGGATCCTGAACCTATAGTCTCACAGAGCTGTGAAGTTGCTCTTAGCATGCTGGAATTTGAAAGATCAGGAAAATCGTTTGAGGTATTCATCTTAAAATTTGAAGACAAAACAGTTATCATTTAAAGTTGTTCAGTGTGATAATGACCACTGTAATCATGCCAAATGCAGTTCCTCTTCATGCAAGCTCCTCATGTGCATTAGATCATAAAAGTTTGAAGAGAACAGGGGAAAAGGAATAATCCGAATCAATGACAAATAGGAGAAAAAGTGGAGAAGAATGACACAGCCATGCATATCTGGATTTCTTACTGTCATCTATAATGATTATTTATTTGATGATGGTTAGGGCTATACTAACGCCTCTGGCGAATTTTATAGAGAACTACTGACCTCAAAACTCTTTTTTTTTTTTTTTTTAAAGGAGTAATCTTGTTGTCCTTGCCTATGGTAAGAGTTAAGACTCCTACAAACATTAAATAATCTATACACAAAAGACTGTTCTCTCCAAAGATGCAACAACTGAATCATCATTTTTGTTGACAGCATATGAATTTGCCTTTAGAGAATCAGCAACATTGTTAAGTGTTGCCACCATTGTTGAGACTTGAGACCTGAGACCATATTAGAAATGAGATTTTGTAGTTTAATAAAGCTCAAAACAGTGTGATGAGCAAATTAGTATATGATAGTGAGCTATATTGTCACTGTGTAGGAGAATTATTTCCTGGTAAGTTGTTCTCTGCTAGTTTATCCATACACCTAACTTGTTTGCCAAAGAAAACAAGTAGGGATGAATTCATAAGGCAATAATGTATTCTACTGTTACTTGCTATGGTTGAATAAGATTAGATTCCACAATGATATCATTCCTTATACCGTAGCATGTTATATATTAGATGTAGATCATATTATATTGATAGTCTTTCCTAATCCGGGTAATCATCTCACCCTTTATATGTGCACTTTGCCTAATATTTCTTGTTTCCTACAATTTAAGTGTGTGTTGAGAAGATTGTTATGTAGTGCTGTGATTGGGTGTTTCTTGTGCTATTTTTTATTCTAGTGTTTAATAATCATTTTTAAGGGTGAGGTGTTCTATGTCCAAACAATTTCAAACATACAAAATACTAATTAAAATTAATTTAATTATAATAAATTAACATTTTTTATCTTAAAAAATTGACATTTTAATAGTGCATGACTCTGTGGAAAAGCACCTTGAAGGCAACTCTTTTGATGGAAACTATGAAAGCAATACTAAATGCACTTAAATGTATAACTCCAACGTTGCAAATTGGAAGGATGAAAAAATGGACTTTTTTTTTCTCCATTAATTGGTAGCTAGTTAATGAAATTTTCCTGTCCACGGAGAATCATCATAGAAGCAATATTAAAACATGATCATTAGTTTTTAATGAATAACATTCACAAATTAAAAAGCAACCCTTTTATTTGCAAAACGCCGAAAAAAAAAAAAGCAGCAAAAAACTGCCAAACTAAATTATTTTGATAGTCTCATTGAATCAGAGTAAATAACATAATTTTTTTTTTGGTAATTTATTGAATTAACTAGTTTTAGTAAAATATTGCCCCGCTAAGTTTTTAAAAACCAGACTTATAAATAATAATTGTATGAAAATA